TGTGTGGAATTACTGTGTACTCGATGCATTCGATCCACTTCCAGGTCACAGAAGGGAAACCTTGAGCTGTATTTCTATGTGCCGAATGATTTTAGGTCAGATGTCTATACATTCAATTTCCTGCAGTTGAAATCAAGCACATGTCCAGGATTTTCGAAGAATCTCTGGCTGATGAATTCGTTTCCAATGGCTCCTTCGTTGCAGGATGCCAAAGCACTGAAGAGACCTGATGACTCCACAACACCCGAGAATCACTTTGGCATTCTGTGTTCACTGTTTCACACAGTTCACATATGACAGGAACTATCCGCGTACTTCGCTTCCGCCGATTTTGGTGCCACGTCATTTGTTGATTTTTTTTGGTGCCGCGAGAGCGGTCTGGTGCGTGAGCCTTGGGCTCTCGCTCGGCTCGAAACTTAGATGGGCAGGAGCACAAACTGCACAGACTGCACGGACTGCGCAGACTGCTTGTTGTTCAACTTTGTAGCATTTTGAAGCTTTGTTTAGCAGCTTTATTTGGATATTTGTGGAGATGTTCTTGGTTCTTTGCCGAAACACAATCAATCTGAGCTTGATGGGCAGAGTCCAGCAGCTTCTCTATAAGGAGATCCTTTGAAGGTGCCACTTCTGACACTTTGACCCTTTGGAATACTTACTTTCTACGTAAGTAATGTAATCTTTCTTATCGCCATCCACGTCCTTCATCCTCCACCATCGTCCGCCAGCGGCACTATGTGACATGTGACACTCGCTTGCTGCAAGATCTGCAAGCCGATCGCTGTTTTCTACCCTTCTATTTTGACCATTTTCGACCAAGGTCGAGAACAGAGCTGCACCCAGTGACGTTTTCCGAGTCTGGCCGTTACGACGACCGAGACACCTCTGCAGAAACCTCGTGGAGGGGGCACGAGATGCCGATATTCAAAGGTGGCCCTGGAAACAATGTGATCAGAATGATTGACATCATTGGGATATACTGAGATCACAAGTTTAATGAGTTTAACTAATGAAGTCTGGTGTGGCAAAGATATGCAGATGCCCAGAGGGCTTGGTTGCTGAAAGATGCTGAGTCCTTGGCAGATCTTAGCAGCTTTGTGTTTGACATCTGAAAGACATCGAACATGGACCACATAGACCACCTTTGAAAGTCTAAGGATTTCACCTTTTAGGATTTGGATGCTTCCACTCTTCCAAGAACATGTAATGTATACTTTGTAGAATTTTGTATACACACTGAATCAATATTGGTCCGTGAACCACAGGGGATATATATATATATAATTATGATCATTATATATCATTATATATCATTATTATACTATTATTATTTATTTTAGTATAATGTGTATGTATATATATATGTGGACCAGTCCCAAGCCACCCCTCTCTACCCCCCCAGGTTAACACTACGACCCCGAACAGTTGCTAACACTATATACCACATATATAACCTATATAACCTAAGTATACCTAATATGTCACCTTTTGCATGCCTGTATACAGCATATATATATTGCTAATAGCCGACCTATATACCAAATTCCTACTACCTAATATACACCTCATATATCCTCATATAAACTTATACATACCTAATATACTGCCAGTTGCCATTGCATACCGATATTACTGTCCATATACCTAGACAACCTATACTACTATACCTAACATTTGTTGACTATGACTACCAATTTACATGATTTTACATAGCTACCAGCCCCCACCACCACAGCAACTACCCAGGTGGGGAAGGGGGGTGTCACATATGGTGGGGGAAGGGGTTCCAGGGGCTGGTGTATATTATAACAAATATGTATGTATGTCATGTAATGTAAATGTAATGTAAATGTAATGTTGTGTAATGTTATGTAATGTTATGTAATGTAATGTAAATGTAATGTTGTGTAATGTTATGTAATGTTATGTAATGTTATGTAATGCAATGTAATGTTGTGTAATGTAAATGTAGTGTTATGTAATGTTATGTAATGTTATGTAATGTTGTGTTATGTAATGTAATGTTATGTAATGTAAATGTAATGTTATGTAAATGTTATGTAATGTTATGTAATGTTATGTAATGTAAATGTAATGTTATGTAATGTTGTGTAATGTTATGTAATGTTGTGTAATGTTATGTAATGTTGTGTAATGTTATGTAATGTTATGTAATGTAAATGTAATGTTATGCAATGTTGTGTAATGTTATGTAATGTTATGTAATGTAACGTACTGTAACGTAATGTAAATGTAAATGTAAATGTAAATGAACATGTAAATGTGATATTATGTAATGTTATGTATTGTTATGTATTGTTATAAATTGTTATGTAATGTTATGTAATGTTATGTAATGTATTGTTATAAATTATTATGTAATGTTATGTAATGTTATGTAATGTTATGTAATGTATTGTTATGTATTTTTATGTATTGTTATGTATGTATGTAAATGTTATGTTATGTAATGTAATGTTATGTGATGTTATGTGATGTTATGTAATGGTATGTATGGGTATGTATGGGTATGTAGTATGTATGGGTATGTATTCATGTAATGTAATGTAATGGAATGGAATGGAATGGAATGTAATGGTATGGTATGGTATGGTATGCATGCATGCATGCATGTATGTATGTATGTATGTATGTATATATGCCATGCATGCAAGGGTTATTGTCAGTTGTTGTCAAAGGAACAACGCAGCACGATGCTTTGTGGAAACATTCATCTCTTGCATGTGCACCAATACTCCGATTCAATAAGTTTCCTCGAAGTGCGCCTGCTACAGGCACAAACTGAACAGGAGCGGAGAAAACAAGTTCAAGTTTCCAACCATCGGTTGCTCCACACTTGAGCACCTACAGTTGGTAGAGTTTTGTTTGCCAAGTTCTACTAGCAAATTCCCCACATTAGCTACGGGACAAGCACTCCAATTTAGTAGACCAAGCTCGAAATGGACTTTGTGGAGTTTGGTCCATGGGTAGAGGTTTAAGAAGGGTCTTAAGGCAAAGGCACTGTCCCTGAGCACATGTCTCTTGAGCTCTTTGCAAAAAGCTTGCATATTTATGCATATTTAACTAGCCCTCAGCTGCGATGCTATGCCCCAAGTTTTCTGGGTCGCTAAAATCCGTGAGCCAATCTGTCCGACCTGTTTTGAAACCTTCTTGACTGCCGGTGGTTTGGCTCAGCTGGCCATATTTAGAATCAAGATCACTCATGTCACGGGGTGTTCAGCATCAGTGTTGCTGGCAGGACATCAGAGACCATAGACGACAGATGAGTGCTTCTAGAATAGTCTGACCCCTAAGCATAACCCTTGATCAAATCCCTCCTCAATACCACAGCCGGTCACAGCACCATGCTTGTTCGCTACAAAACTGTTCCTATTTTTATAAACAACATGTCGCGAATGATAAAATATGATATGTTTCCAAAATGTTTTCAGCCCTCAAAATTCTCCGGTGACAAAGTTGGGATTGAGATACAGAGGCTTTCGGGCCGCTGCCGGGCTCGGTACCTGGTGAAAGTTGTACCCATTTGATCTTTAAATATCTTTAAATCATTCAAGATCAAGGACTTCAAGGACTTCAAGGACTTCAAGGAAGTTGTATTATGTATTATGTTGTATTCATGTGATTCATGCGACACTCTGTCTCGTCCACAAACTCCGTTTGCTCAAATTTTGTTTTCAAGATGTCATCACAGAGCAATAAAGCAGTACTCGTACAAATAGGGAGCTCATGTTATCTCCATCACTTGAATTTTCAAGCTGTACCCAAGAGGGAAGTCGATGGATGGTGTTTGTATTTATCTACCAGTAGGGCCAGCAAAAAGAGTCAGACAGCAAGAACAATCGAAAACAAACAAGCCGGTTTCTCAGCAAATGCTCGTACTATTAAATTAGATCCGTCCACACAACATGTACGAAGCAGACAATGGCTTCCAGATGCTTCCAGCAAACCTTGATCCATCCACCTTTCAGCATTCTGCTCTTTGCGTTCATAAGGACTCTTCGTGGTGACAGCGGTGTCATGTAAATTCACTGCGTTAAAGGGTTGAAGCAGTACAGTCTGAGATTATAGTGTGTCCGGATACATGTTTGCAGCGGTGCCAGACCAATGTGCTGACTGATGCAAAGGCCAAATGGTCAAAAACAAAGGGTCGTCTAAGTCGAAGAAGGCGGGGGGCCATATGGAGCAGGGGTAGGGGCTGATCTGTTCCTGGACCCAGAGTAGTTGGCACGATGCTTTCAAACAAAGCGCGTGATATAGTGCGATCCTTAGCCACCTCTGATTGTTTTTTCGAGGGTGTGGAATGATTGTACCAGAAGGCTGCAGAGGTTTCTGCCTCCTTTGCATCCCGGATAGGTGGAGGATGGCGGAGGTTTGTTTCCCATCAAAGATGCCTCTTCCAACCGGACCGTAGAAGCTCATTTTTGAGATCTTTCTCGTATTCCGCTTTGTTTAGATCCAGCACCCATTCGGACCAAGGCAATTTATGAACCGATTGCATCTGATTGCAAACCGTTCTAAAACCAACCAATTATTGGAGCACTCTAGTTCCTGTTTGTGGTCTACAGTAAACGGTGATGAAAGGTTCATTGGAGACTTCGGGCTTTAGGAGACAGTTGCTTCACCAATTTGAGCTGAGCTCTACGGTGATTGGCCATGGCCTAGCAACATATGGTCACCAAGTGCTTTGAACATACGTAGGATACAGCAGAATATGGCAGAATACAGTAGAGGTATGTAGAATTTGATGTTATTTGATATTGTGTGATTTTGTTTGATATTGTTAGAATTGATTCCAAGCAGTCCCGTTGACTCTGCAGGCATTGACATCATTGCACATGACACGTCACTTTTGCCGGAACATTTATTTCCCAAGACGGCCAATTGAGCCAATTCTCGCATCGAGCAAAACGCCGCGGCATGATGCGTTGTGACTTGCAACTTCTTTGAGCATTTCATTGAGACTGGGGTATCAGCAAACCCTAATGTCAGTTGGTAGAGCGGAGCCTATCGACTTCTACGATGACCCTTTGCTTTTGAATGATCCCTGGACCTCGCATGGCTTTTCAGATGGATTTCATTCTAGCAACTTGATGGACGATCCGAGCGATGACGATGTGCCGCTCCTGGAACCCATCAGAGAGGACGATGCAGTTGGACAGTGGTTGTGTGCTTCCTGCTATAGCCCTGATTGGAGGCGTATGGCTGATGGATACCGATGTGCTGCATGCGGTGGAACCCGCTTTTTCGAGAGCAACATGGCCTCAAGCGGTGTTTCCGCAGGCACTTGGGTGTTTGTTCCCCGTAAGGGATCTTTAGCAGATGCAACCACAAGCACTACATGTTCAACAGCTGTCCGCAATTCCATGCATTCCTATGAGCCCAATCATGAAGCCGGCAGTGAGAAGCAAGCTGAATCGGAGCAGCTCACCGATGATCCGTGCGTGAACCCTGAAACGATGTCTGCCAGGACTAGCAGGCGTGAACGACGTCGAGCTCGACGAGCTGCAGGTCCTTCTGGAGATGCTCTTGCAGGTAGTCGTGGACAAGGCCCTGGCAGTCATAAGTCTGTTTCTGTGTCCATTGGAACTCCTGTGAGACTGGCAACCCAAACGACCCCAAACCGAGCAAGCAATGCTGTCCCTGCTGGCAATGCAGTGCCCTCGCCGCAACGTACGAGAAGCAGCTCAGACATGTGGCGAGATGAGATGCTTCGAAACCTTGGTAATCAGGTAACCAAGGACAAGAATGCAGACTGGACCATAGACAAAGGTCCGGCCCCTGGAGTCAAATATCGAAGTGGCCAACCTCCAGCGCCTCCTGTATGGCACTATGCAACAACAGACCTTCGTGCATTCCAGAAGTGGGAGCGCAGACTTCAGGTGTGGCGCCTTCAGGTGAGTCATTATCTTCCACCTCGCGAAGCGGCACTTATGCTGTATGTTAACCTGAAAGGCGAGATGGAAGAGGAGTTGGAATGGGCTGATCTTGACAAGATAGATTGCGATACAGGGATTGACTTCATTTTGGATCAGCTTAGACGACCCCTGAAGACGAGGGAGGTTTACCTCAAACGCCAGTACTTGTGGGACTTTGAAGTGATTCAGCGCCATCCCCAAGAGAGTGTCCGAAGCTTTTGCAACAGATATCATAGATGTGAGCGTTCGCTGCTGGCAATTGGAGTCAACGTCAACATGATGTATGACAGTGAGAGCCGTGGTGTGCGGCTGCTTGACCGACTCCGACTCAACTTGGAGCAGCAGCGGATGATTCTCATCGGATGTGGCCAGAGCTTGCACTATGAAGACGTGAAAGAAGCAGCAATTCTCCAGTTTCCTGAGCACCGTGCAGCCCCATATGTTGTCCAGAACCGTGAGTTCGACAGAGGTGGCCGACCAGACTCCGGCCAACAACAGCAACCTCGATCTGACAACCGTCCTGCACAGGGAAAAGGCAACAAAGGCAGCGGTAAGCAATACGGCAAGGGTAAACCTTCCGACTCCAAAGGCAAGGGCAACTCATATGTCCGCAGTGCCTACGTTGCCGAGAACACAGAAGATGCTCAGGAGGAACACCACGAAGAGGATGGAGAAGCAGCTGCTCATGACGAAGCTGAAGATCAGGGAGAAGACTATGAAGAAGGTGGCGATGCAGCCAACCACAATCAAGATGATGCTGATGAAGCACCACAGGAAGATGCTGACCTTGAGCTAGCCGCACACTGCTTGACCGTCACAGCCAGACGTTTGAGTGGGCTGCGACTTGGCAGGAAATTTTCTGGCCAAGGCAACAAGTCAATAGCTGAGCGGAAACAAACGTCGCATTGTGCAGCATGCGGCGCCAAAGGTCATTGGCAGGGTGATCCAGAATGCCCTCACTCAAACAATTCAGCTGGCAATGCGGCTGACTCCAAAAGTGGTGGCAAGACTGGTGCAAAATCTAGCAACCAGGATGACCGCAAGTCCTCCGGCGCGAAAAAGGTGATGACCGTTGTGCATGCTGATGGTGTTGCACGGCAAGCTGCTGTGGAAACCACCAAGAAGGAAGCCTTCGGCACATATTTCACTTTCATGGTTTCTTCACCTGGCCACAATTTGCACCAGATCTATGCAGCAAATTTGAGTAGCTTTGACCATTTCGTTGTGCTGGACACTGCATGCCAACGTACCTGCTGTAGCTCAACATGGTTTGCTTCCTGGCAGGCGTACGTGGAGAACCTACGGTTCCGTGCTAAGCTTTCAGAATGTCATGAGCCTTTTGAATTTGGGCACGGTCCAACTCAGTACAGCAAGCAGCATGCATATCTTCCAGCGTGTTTTGATGGCAGCTCCAGTACTTGCTCACTGCTGGGTGCCTGCATCATTGAGACCTCCAATGATATCCCACTCCTAGGCAGCAATGTTCTTTTGGCAAAGAAGCTCAAAGCCACTTTGGATTTGCCCAGGCAGCGAGCTCATTTAGCCACTTTTGGATGCGATGTTCCCATTGCAGTCATCAATGGTCATTTGGCATTAGACATTGCTGCGTTTTCACAACATGCACACGAGTTTTCATGTTGGAACGAGTTGGCAACTTTGAGTGATGAAGCTGACCGTGATCCAGAATTTTTGTGCGTGTTCCCATCAGTGCTCAAGCAAGATCAAGCAGGTGTTCAAGAACACGCCCATGGAATCAGTCCGAGCTCCACCTCTATGGCTTCAGCGCTGGAAGAATTTTGTGGCCACCATCTTCCAGGCAGAGATGATCCTGGCACAAGTTATGGTAAAGGCGTGTCGCCTGAGGATCCGCAACAGGTCCTGGCTGCACTACCAAGATCCGCTGCACATGGAGGAGAAAGAGATGTTGTTCACCAGGGCGACAGGCCCATGCCCACACGACCAGCTTCAGCGGTCGGGCAACAAGCACGGGCGGTACAGCAAGTGCCTGCAGTGCGGCAAGAAATGGACTTGGGACGACGACGCCAAGCTGTGGACAGAACCAAAAGTCTCCTCAAGACAGCAGCAGCTGCCTTTACCGTCCTCATCTACGGCAACAGTGTTCCAGGACAAGGCCTACACACCAGCTGCATCGATGGGACTCAAGACCTGGGACTTGACACCACACGCCATCAAGGACCAGCCTTTGAGTTCAGCAGCAGCTGCCAAGAAAGCTGCAGCCAAGCGTGGAGCCAAGCCCAAGAAGAGCCCATCAAAGAGGCAGAGCCGATCCATGGAAGAGGACGGGGACTCGGACTACGACTGGAGCCTTCTGGAATGAAGACAAAGACATCCACTGGTGCGTCCAAGACAGGGAATCGAATTTGGCTGACCGGCTATTTGAGAGCCTGCCAGAAGACGTACCAGCGTGAAGTTGATGCCTATGAATGCTTGGCCAGTCATCATGACTATAAAAGGGCTGGAAGCAAGGTCGACCTCATGGACTTTCTCGAGGTCTTTGCCGGCACGGGGATTGTCACAGACCTTGCATCGAGCTTTGGACTTTCAGCTCTCCAACCCTTCGACCTACTCTATGGCCAAGATCTCAAAGATCGCCATGTTGTCCACCAACTCCATCAAACAGTTGATCAGTTCAGGCCACTGCTCACTTTGATAGCATGGCCATGCACTTTCTGGAGCATCTTCAACCAGAATATGAATTACAGTTGGCGGTTGCATGAACTTGAAGAACTCCGTGAGTCCGACCGCCCATTGGTCGACCTTGGTTGCGACCTGGCTGAGAAACAAATGGATGAAGACCGGCTGTTCCTAGGTGAGACCCCTCTACGATCAGCCATCTGGGACGAGCCTCGTGTTGTTCGCCTCCGAAATCGGCCAGATGTGATTGAGGTGGAATGCGATGCTGGTGCGTATGGGGCTGAAACAGTCACTGGCGAGCCAATTGCGAAGCCACACAGGTTCATCACCAACAGCCCCATTCTGGCTCGACTTCTCTCACTCAAGCTCACCCCAGAGCAGAAGATGTATACCACCAAAGTGGAAGGCCGCCACACCAAGGCCTCAGGACAGTACTGTCATGGACTTGCTTGTGCTATCCTTGAGGGCCTTCGTGAAGAAGCACGCCTCCGAAACCCCCAGAGGTTCCAACTCAACCACGAGGTGTACTACGCGGCCCCAACAACTCATGAAGAGGACTGGACGGCTGCTTTGAATGAAGCTGAGAAGAGGTTCGAGAACACCAGCAAACGACCTCTGATCCTTGCCGAAGGAGACATTCTTTACCAACAAGTTCAAGAGCTGGTTCCATGGAAGCTCAACCGCATTCAGTTGGCCTGGCTGCCTGGCCAACGAAGATGGCCAACTGAAGTGCCATTCACCCACCGCGGCTGTGCATACCGCGACGCTAGTGGAAGGTTCGCCATTGAGCATGAAGACCTCACATCAGTGCCATACCCGAAACAGAAGTTTATCAACCCTGTTCGAGTGGCAATCTTCTTCTATGGCGAAGCTCCAGAAGAACCAGCGGAACGACTTCAATTTGATGATGACCGCGAGATCCCTACCACTGCCAAGGTAGCAGGTCTCAACACTGACATCCACTTCGAAGGTGGTCCTCCAATGTCCCGAGAGATGAGGAGCTCTTTGGCAAGACTTCATTGTAATCTTGGTCACGCTCCCAAGACCGAGATCATCCGCATTCTTGCCGCTGCCGGCAAACTTGACAGCAAGATTCTTGCTGGACTTGATGCATTGAGATGTGGCACTTGCAAGAGGCTCACAAAGCCCACAAAGCCACCAACTTCCTCAACAGCAAGTGCATCGAGATATGCTGGCGCATTTGGAGAACACCTCCAAGCTGACATCATCTACATTCGACTTCTAGACGGATACGCATGTCCAGTACTTGGAATGGTCTGCATGTCCACCAATTACCATGCAGCGAAGACTTTGCAGAATAGGAGCCCTGAGCACCTTCTCGAAGTCATGCAGGAGATTTGGTACCGACCACTCGGTCTTCCAATTTCCATCACAGTCGACTCAGACACAGCCTTCTACGGTGTCAATGAACAATGGCATCAACAAATTGGCGTTGAGTTTGACATCATTCCTGCCGAAGAAGCTCACAAGCTCGGCAAGATTGGCCGAAGAAATGCCCTGATGCGAACTCTGTCTGAGAGGCTGATAGACCAGAACGGTGCCACCAACAAAGACCAACTCAACAACATTCTCACTGCAGTGCTCCACAGCATGAACAACTCCACCTACAGTTATGGTCGTTCACCATGTCAGGCAGTTTTTGGACGAATGCCCCGACCAGTTGGAGACCTGCTGTCGGACGAAAAGGCCCTAGCCATTACTCCTCCACTTGAAGGAGCTCAGCTATCTTTGAGGCCTGAACTCCTGCGAGCAGAAGCGGTGACAGCTTTGGCGCAGTTTTCTGCTTCACAGGCTATTCGTCGAGCACTGCTGAGAAAGACGAGAAACCAAAAGGACTTCAGCCATCTCGAACCTGGCCAGGCAATAGCCTTTTGGAGACAAAGCGCCAAAGCTCGCCAACACAAACGTGGAGCATGGTGCCTTGGACGTTTCCTTGCACTCGACCCAGATCGGAAATCTATGTGGGTGCAAGTTGGCAAAAACTCCATCCGCATTGGCAACACCCAGGTCTGAGAAGCTGCAGGTTGGGAGACATGGACACCAACATCTGATGACCTCAACTTCATCAGACAGGCTGAGAACAACATCGCTCAAGGCCTTTGGAGCGATGAAGTCGAAGATGGCCCCAGAGAAGAAGATGCAGCCGATATTGAAGCCGACATCTTCCAATTCCGGCGACAATTTCCACAACGACTTGAAGATGAACCCGATGTTCCTATGATCGACACTCCTGGGCCACCACCACAACAAACAATATTGAACCAGGAACAACACATGCCACACAGCATGGCCGATGTGCCACAAAGCATCCCTCCCGGAGAACGTGTACAAGATGCAATCCAACAACTTCCAACACCACTACAACATCCTATGCAACCGCGGTATGACACCCACTTACCAATATCACAACACTACGAGCAAAGTACACAGCAGCAGCAATATCTACAACAGAACTTCCAACAAAACTACCAGAATATCAACATCAATTCACCAACATACCAGAACTTTGGCCCACGTGCTGACTTTGGAACGAATCCACCAACGCCAAGGACTGCTAGAGCAAGATCCAGAACGCCAACGAGGACTGGATTTCAACCAGAACAAAGACCAGCGACAGCAGTACCACAAACAACACTTCCGATCGAGCAACAACCGCAAACAAGCACAGCAGAAGCATCACTACCACTACAAGGTCCTGAGCAGGCCTTCTGTGTTCTGGGTTCTGAGCAAGCCCATTGCGCCTACGGCCCTGAGCAGGCCCCTTGTGCTAAAGGCTCTGAGCAAGCCTTCTGCGTTAAAGGTCCTGAGCAGGCCTTCTCTGTGCCAGGCCCTGAGCAGGCCTACATGTCCAACTTCGAGACGATGGATGATGGAAGCATTCACCAGCGACTCCATGGCTGGGATGGCAGCCCTGACTTCGCGAGTCCAGCTATGCCATCACAACGCGCCTACAACGCTTATCTTGCAAGTGACCAGCGCAAAGTCGAGATGATGAACGCTGGCATCAGCAAGGACGTTGAGAGGGCTGACAACAGCAGCTCAGATGAAGACCTGTCCATTTCGAACGATCGAAATCTCACCAGACAGGAGATGAAGCAGCTGGACCGAGAACTACCTTGGAGAGAATTTTGGGCACTCCCAACCATGATCCGCGAGAAGTACATTGAAGCAGCTGTGAATGAATACAATGGATGGCTGCAATGGAATTCCATTAGACCTCTCACTCAAGCAGAAGCCAACGAGATCTACAAGGACCCCAAGCTTCGCCGTCGGATCCTCCGATCTCGTTCTGCTTACCGTGACAAAAGCAGAGGCATTGGAGAAATCAAAGCAAAATGCAGGGTCGTGCTCATTGGCTGCCAAGACCCGGATCTACATAGTCTCAGTAGGGACAGCCCAACACCCACAAGGCTGTCCGAGTACATACTGATGTCTGTGGCATCTGCTGGAGCAAATCGTATGTTCAATGGTGATGTGCGACGATGGTCAATTTGGATCAGCGACGCCGAGAAGGCCTTCCTGCAGGGGACTCAAGACAGCTCCGAGAGGAAAGGCCTCCCGTTGTACATGGCCCCTCCTCAAGACGCCATCATACAAGCTGCAGAAGCCTTCCCAGCACCGCTGTACGAAGTGACTTCAAATGCATGCGGTTTGGCCAACGCCCCCAGGGTATGGTACAAGCGTGTTGACAAAGTAGTTCGAGGCTGCGACTTCAAACAGCACAGCTTCGATCGCTGCTTGTACTATCATGTTGGCGAAGATGGCTTGCTAGATGCTCTGATGATCGTGCACGTTGACGACATGCTTGCAGTGTACTCTGAAACCTTCCCTCTGGAGTTGCTTGAAGGTATGTTCAAATGGGGCAGTGTGACCAAAATCACCCACGACACACCAGGCGAGTTCAGAGGAAAGGAGATCCAAATGATTGTGGAAGACAACAAAGTCTCTTACAAAGTCACACAGAAAAGCTTCATCAAGAACCTAGCGCCTGGAAACTTGCGTGTTGGAAGGCTCAGACAACCACCTGAACTTTCTGACGAAGAACGCAAAGAATTCCGCTCCGTCTGCGGATGCTTGCAATGGCTTGGAGGTCAAACGAGACCTGAGTTGTGCGCAGCGACATCTTTGGCTCATCGTGGAGCAGACACCGACATCCACGACCTCAAGCACCTCTACGAGTGCATCGCCTTTGCCAAGCAAACTGCAGACTGCGGGCTGACCTTTCCTCCAATCTTCTTGAACCGGGCTTCGACATTGGTCACATACTCGGACTCAAGTTGGGCGAATGCAAGGTGCCATAAATCACAATACGGTGTGGTCGTCACCATCACCTCTGCACAAGTGACCGAGACCACTTGCCATGCCCACATTTTGGACTGGAAATCAGGCAGATCTCCACGGGTTTGCAGATCAACGCTGGCTTCTGAAGCTTGTGCATGCGATGAGGCCTCAGACAGAGCTTGCTTTGCCAATTTAGTTTTGTCTGAGCTGCTTTACCAAAAGGCAGCGTACCTCGGCGATTTGAAACTGAATTCATTACTTTGCACAGACGCCAAATCGTTATACGATTGTTTGGTAGCTGAAAACCCGGCTGTGACAGATAAACGTAGTATGGTGCAGATTCGAGCTGTACAACAAAACCACGCACCAGCAGCGATTAGATGGATCCCTACGAAGCTGCAATTTGCAGACGGACTGACAAAACTCAGTTCAGATCTTAGAGAAATCCTGTGCAAATGGTGCCAAATGCCATGGGTCCAATTACGGCAAGAGTCAACAACAAAGACCAGTGTTAGAATTGATTCCAAGCAGTCCCGTTGACTCTGCAGGCATTGACATCATTGCACATGACACGTCACTTTTGCCGGAACATTTATTTCCCAAGACGGCCAATTGAGCCAATTCTCGCATCGAGCAAAACGCCGCGGCATGATGCGTTGTGACTTGCAACTTCTTTGAGCATTTCATTGAGACTGGGGTATCAGCAAACCCTAATGTCAGAGATATTATGAAATATTATACAGAGGAGTATTAGAATGTGTTAGAGGTATCGGATATATTCTGATATGGTATCCGGTTGCTTTTGCATTTGATCGTAGAAAGAGGAGACTCCGAGACAAATCTCATGAGAGGCGAAGAAGGTCAAGGATGGAGAGGCCAGCCGCGGTTGCCTCCTGCCATGAGACTCGAAAAGCAATGTGTGCAGAAGCTTGCAGAAAGTCGAGATGTATGAAGCACAGCATGTATAGTCAGCATAATCTACTGCAAGACTTGTCAAAGAAAGACAGTCGTTGCGTGCTTTTAAGGGAGATATATTGGCTGATAAATCATGCTGGGTGTTCGGAGACGACCAGTACGAATAGGCACTTCCAGCATTGCTATGTAATGTTTCTTCGTGTCTGATAGTCTGATAAAACAAACAAAGCATTCCTATGTTTCAGCCCACCTTCTCAGGCGATTGATGCAGAAGTTGCGCTCCAGGCTTGGGAAAGTTTGGCACATGTTGGCATTGTTATTTTTGGACTAGTTGTTAGACACACGCACACACACTTAAATCATCTTATATAAATGATCTTAAATGATCTTAAATGTCCATCATATACCATATACAGATACATATAAAACATTATAGAACATACATGTCATCCTATATCATCGAACCAATCCATGAAGACGTCATTGACGTGAGACCTGAAATGACTCTGTTCTGTCGCCACCTCCAAAAATCATGAAACATCCCAGGTTTGGTATTTGTCAAATTTGTGCGAAGTATTCTTTCAGCTCTTTCCATTCTTGCCTTCGGGCTGGCAGACAACAGATTCTTAGAAGAGGTAGTTTCTGAACGTTCATTTTTGCTTCATGGTTGCCCTCCCACATAGCATTAGGGTACCATTTTTTCAAAGAATGCAGTGTGCCTGCGCAAAAAAGAGCATTGTTGCAAGAGACAACATGCCTCCGGGTGGGGCTGCTCTCTATCCCTCTCTCTCGCTGTCGTCTCTGTCTCTTTCCCTATCTCTCTCTCTCTCTCTCTCTCTTTCCCTTCTGTCTCTCTGTGTACCTAGCAATCCAATGCATATATGTTCATGATTAAAATGTGGTTTTCTGCTTGAAAAGAAGCAGCTTTACAGAGTACATTGAACATGAAACCCAGCATGAACTGGCTTCCACGCTTTCATGAATCGCTTTTGAAGGAAGATCTTGGAAAATCCTCCACGGAACGGGTTCAGTTGTTTCAATCAAGCTGCATGTTTGTTTGTGTGTGTTCTTGTTTAGGGTTTACCAAAAAGAGAAGTCCGTATGCAGTTCGTCATTTAATCTCGATCTGCTTCCGCCTGATCGGGCCTTTATTCCAAGATGGATACTCCTGTGTTCGTGTTCTCCTCTGGATGTTTTGGTAAGTTTTGCTGTCCATTTGTCGGGGAACAGTTGATGCTTTTGGAGAGAAGTCACTTGGTCTTTTTTTTTGTCCACAAACTCAATCAGTCAAAAACAATTCCGGAAGAAACGCACGAAGGCTTGTAGTTGCTGCTAAGGATTGCTGTTGCACCGGTCACAGTTGGCCTGGTGCTACAGCAGTCATTGAATGCAGAACCTCAAAGCACTCCACAGATTTGTATGATCTGTGTTTATCTGTGTTCAACTGTGTTTCGTAGAGTTTGCATGGCATGAGCTTCGACCAATCAGTGATACGCCCTGCAATTGCGCAGCGGCAGGTCAAGGAGATTGAAGACCGCTTGCAGGTTGGGGGTGAAGGGGTGAAGGGGTGAAGGGGTGAAGCCTAAATCGTCTAAGTCGGATTGAATTTCACCTTTGAAGAGAGCAATGGAGAGCAGATGTCGAATCTGATTTCTTCAGGTGTCAACTTCTTTCGATATCAAAGAGATACGAACACAATTTCCCAGGGGTGACTGGTGTATACTGTATACTGTATACTGTGTGTTTCGATCTAGAAAAGGTTAATCTCCACTTTGACTCTCGGGATTCTTGTAAATTGTTTTGGCGCTTTGTCTCCTTTTTGGCACTTTATCAGACACTTTATCATACTTTATCCTTGTTGAACTTGTTGGTGTTGAGGCTCTAACCGTGGAGATGAAGCAGGTCGAGGTGACGGCGGATTGGCTGATGATAACGCTGACGATGCTGGCATCTTCTTGGAGGTTGTTTGTGTTGTTTAAATTTGTCAAAACCTATTTAATTATTCAACTATACATTACATTTTTTTACTTTTGTGTTTTACTTGCGTGTTTTGCGTGTTCCCTCAGCATGTCACGGTGCATCTCCAAGACGTTTCTTTTCAAGTCAATCGAACATTTGCAACTAAAATTGCAATTCAGGTCTTACTCAACTCGTGACTTCCCAGTCACTTTGCCCAAGCACGTACCACATGCAGACTTAACAAATCTGATTCCTGTAGTATGGCACGACCTGCTTACCACAGTTTGTAGTAGACCGGGCCATGCTTGGTTCACTATGGAATGTTATTGACATTTATTGACCATATTTACCTTGATTTCTGCTGGAGGGAAAGATCAAGCACTGTGCGCTTGAAGCGAAGCGT